AGAGTCGTGAATGCTGTGAAATAGAAAAGGCAAAAGGAACCCTTGGGGTCTGAACATCAATGACTTCACTAAGGACTGGTGACCTCTTAGGTCTAAGAGTAGCCCCCCGTGAGCCAACAAACACTCTCCAAAACACATTCCACCAAACACTCAATAATTTTTCCATAATAGCCTTTAATACTAAAATGCATTAAATTTTTGAAGCAGAGAAAACACATTTAAAGGGGGAAACAGAGAACCACCAGATAAAAGGAAACAATGTGGCAGATAACACCATTTAAAACATAACTGTAATAATTTAATAAAGCTGCTTTATCATCTTCATAAAATAGACAGTGGTGATTCTTTTTTGTCTTTTTTCTTTTTACAATGATTCAATCACTGTGAAAATGTACATAACATACAGATCAGCATATACAACAACTTTATCTTCATATAATCAGCAACAGACTGCTTAATGAGACATACTGTACTTGCATCCCTCTAAATTTCCACCCTGGTTTGACAGGTAAACAGTAATAGTGTCATCAGGCTCATTCCCCTCACTAGAGGAGCGAAGGCGTAAGCCTTTTGCAACTAATACCTTAGCATTCAAATAGCACAAAGAGGTATTTGTTGCTGAATTTCTAGCTTGAGCTAGTCTGGCTCTTGGTCATTAAAGTCTGTATCCTAGCCTTCCTCAGCTGAACGCCAGCCAGTGCCAGTAAAAAACTACTTAACTAGTGCTGTAATGGTGTTAGCTGGTTTGTTTGCTAAGGTTGACAGCAACTTTCGGTTAGTAACAAGGTCATCTTGAATTGCCAACACAGCTGGAGCAACAGTCGGCATCATCCGTTTTCCCTAATGACCTACAATGCTTTCCAATCAAGATCAGGTGTTTGTGGGTTATTCTTTACCAAGAGCGCCTTCCAAACTATATTTCAGACAAGGTGGTAGATTTTCTTTGTTTCACAAAAGCAATATGATTCCTATTTGAAATTAATTCACTTTTGCACAACAAGTGACCCACAGGCCAATTCCAGCCTCACAAGAAAACAAAGAGAGCTGCAACAACTTCATTAGGACAATGTGTTTTGCTCTGGAATATTTCATTATCAATATAAAGCCACCCGGTCCCGGTCCCACCCCCACACATCCCCTTTGAATATTACTTTGTTACATATTTAAACTAAAGAACAACATCTCAATACACTTCAGTGGCAGCAGATACAATTTGACTCATGAAATGACATCCTTAAATGTAATTTTACCAAGAAGGCAAACACTAGGACTGTATACAATGGATTTCTTAAGCTCACTTATGCCAGTTTTTCGAAGTCAATAAGGGTCTTTTTACCCAGGGTAAAGAGCCAAGTGGACCAACTTGTCAGAATGCTTTGGGGAACATTCAACATCAAAATGATCCCCGGAAAGTGGATTGTAATTCCAGCCAGAACTGCTATTATATACAATAATAATCCTTTTTTCACCCTGGATGCCCAGTCGAGCTATTCCCTTCACCCTGCCTCTTCCTAAACTGCCCTTTGTCCTTGCTGCTTTAAGTGGACCACTTTGGTTTTTACTTTTTAAAATATGATAAGGTTATAGGGAAAAGTCAACTAAATTCCCTTATACCATCAGTCAGTCATATGCTGAAGTAACACTATCAAGATGATGCTCTGGGTGGTTCCAGTTTTCAGAGATCTAAATTGTATTTTTCAAAATATTTTTGATTAGAGATCAATGAATCACTAAGTGAACAAATTTGTTTCAATGAACACCTTAGGTGCAATTAGCTCTATCAGGCAGGTTTCTACTAGAGAAATGGTCCTCAAAATATGGTCCCTGGATCAGCTGCATTAGTATCATCTGGGAATTTTTAGATACACAAAAATGCAGACCCCACCCCAGACCAACTGAATTTAAAACTCTGTCAGGGAGCTATCAACTTGTGCTTTAACAAGCCCTCAACCTTTAATGGGCATCTGATTCATAAGCATTTTTGAACACCACCCCCAGAATTTTTTATTCAATTGGTCTTGGTGGGGACGGAGAATTAGCTCTTCTAACAAGTCCCCACGTAATGTTGTTGCTGCAGATCCAGGAACTACACTTCAGAACCACTGCTCTACAGAAACTGTAGGATCCTTTGGGGCCCATTACCTATTTCAGCAATAAGGTGGGCCATAATTTACTCTACTGGCTGTAAGAGGACCAAAGGGATGGTAAGTTCCATTCTGAAGAGGTTCATAGATTAGTCCCTAAAGGGAAAAGTAAAAAGGGATTCCACATGGCATTGCCCCCTTCTCCTTTGTTATATTGTATATCCCCATATTTGGAGGAAAGCAATCTATCAATGTAAACTAGACTCCTTATATTGGATGAAGTAGTTTACCTGTCTGGGGAATTGCCAAAGCAGTTGTTATTAAAGCATGTCACACTTCAACACCAACTCCTCCTTAAAAGGGACATCAGAATAAATGGAATAGAACTCCCTAGGACTTAGGAACCGAAATTCCTCCCTTGAGTTTAAGTGTGGAACATGTTTAGAGAAGGAAAAGGAAGAATATTTGGCCCTGTGGACCTTGTAGCTTTTCACAAGACATGCCAAAAAGGAGAAGGTGGGGTGCAGAGGGGGGCAGGAAACATGAGCCAAAGGGAAATTTAGGATCCTTGCTCAGAATGCCTATTTGCAGGTACAGCCTGCCTACAAAACCAGCTTACAAAGCCTTCCTAGGATGCACTTGTGCTTCTGAGAGGACTCATACATCAGACAATTGTGGGGAAAATATTTCCTTAATGAGAGGAATTCTCTGAACATGCTCAGTGAGGTTTGGAAGCCAAAAAACTCTGACTGCCCACTGAGAACAAAGTATTTGGAGAGGGAAAGATGATGGATCTATAGCTTGAAGATTAATTAGTAAAAGAAATTAAGAAAACCAAAGAGAAAAGCAAAGCCAATGCCAATGCCACTCTAACCATTTAAAATTTGGATGATAAGAGTCATGGCAACCAGTGGCCTCTCTGGCTTAACAGCCACGCGACATTTAATGTTCCCACTTTCGACAATCTTTTCTGCTCCCTCGTTCCCACTGAGCATAGCAAGGAATACACCTGTAAAAAATTGTGAAGTCTGACTTCAAAGTGACCTTGAAATGGCTGCTAATAACATAATATCAGAATGGATCAGGGTGAGAAACAGTCTAAATTCTATAGGCAGTCGTCATAACTTAAAGGGAAATTTTTTTTTTAATGTGTTAATCAAATAGTCACTTGCAAAGAAAAATAATTTAAAATTCACAATCAAAATGAAATAAATCAAAGGGAGAAAACTATGAGAGGCAATGAAATGAGGCAAAATGAAGATGTTATGATAATTCATCCTTAATTGTGTCAGTTTCAGAGGGAAATTTGCAGCCACACCAATATTTTGCATGAGGTAGTATGCAGGACTGAATAAGAAATAAGGATGGATTTGTAGCTTCATTATAGGTTCTTTTTCAGAAATGTTCTCCCCTACCTAACCCCATCCCTACTGACTTACCCACCCCCTCCCTCAAAACCCTTCTCCCTCCCATAAAAGAAAATATTCCTAGTAATGTGTAAAGCTAGGAACTCAGGAAAAAATAAGTAAAACATTCAAAAGAGCTGACTTATCTATCTAAACTTAAGAAAATAAATCCTCTTTTGCATTCTAGTGCTCTAACCTCTAGGCCTTCTTTCTGTGTACTCTTGAATTTCAAAAAATGAAACAAATGAAAACAGAACCGTAAAACTTGTTTCTCTAGAAACAGCTCTCTTAAGATCAAGGCAGAACAAAGGTGACATATTTCTTTATTTTTAAATAATAAATTCTTAGGCTGCAAAAATACTATGTTGGGTAGCGAATATTAATAGACAAAAGATAAATGAGGGAGCTAGAGGAATGTTAAAATGGAAAAAAAGGATGTAAAGTTTGTTAATTTAAAAGGGGTGTATTTGTAGCCTACAGCAAAAAGAGTTAGCTAAATCTAAGGGATTTTTAATATTTTTGTGTTCACATTTTTAATCAAAAAGTATTAGTCATAAAAAGACGAGTTCAAGTGTCTGCGTGTCTCCATTTAGAAGGCACAGTAATTGGATTAGCGATGCTGTTCCCTGTTACCTGTCTTTTCCAACATGTACACTTTGTACTGCTTACTCTATCCCTATGTATAAGCCTAAGATACAGAGCAACCTGGAGTTCTCAATTCCAGCCCATGACGTGCTTTGCAGTCTAATTCTAATTATGATTGGGAAACACTGAATCAGGAAGTGTGTGTCTGAAGAGATGCTAATTTAGATCTTAAAATAGATTCAGTCATTTTCAGTTTTAGATGATAGGAGAGAGGGAATTCTCAGCCTGGAAACATAACTTCAGGAGCAACTTTCCCGTTCAGGGCCTGAAAATCTAAAAGATGAATGTCATAAAACTTTCAGCACAGTATTTCTGACAACTGCAAATTAGATAGCAGCCTATCCAAAAATGACTTTCTGCCATGATCTATCATGGACCTGGGCAGATCACTGAAAGGCAGGAAAAATACTTTGCAAGGTGGTGAGCAATCACTACATGGGTTAAAAAACATGAGTATCCTCCAAGTACTCAATCTATATGAGTGGTGTTGCTCATTCATTTGCTGTCTCAGTTGTTTGCACTTTGTTTTTGTCTGTAGTTTTATTATTTTTTTTAAGAAAAAACACCAACCTTTAAAAGCCTTTTGCCATCACCACACACATAGCAATTTGCAATATCAAATACAACAATAGCACAGCTAGCAAAAGGGTTTTTAAAGCAGGGGTGTCCACAGCAAAGTAGCGGCATTGGAAAGTACTTGAGCTTTGGAAACAACCTTTTGGGGGCTCAATTTCACATCACTGAATCAATGAATAGTACACAATAAATGACCATTAACTTGTCTACACTACAAAAAACAGTGGCGAGCTTATTAAAGGTGTCCAGAGCTTTCTTTTTTTTTTTCTTTTTTCTTTTTGCTTTTTTTAATGTAATCCTCCACAAACAATGGTAATTTATATTATAATTTTGACATAGAAAAATATATAAATTCAAACACTTAATACATAATACTTTTCACAACTGAATTTGTCTCTGTTTCCCCAACATCGAGGCCCCATGAACAACTCAAGCCAAAGCTAATTTGCTCCAACTGAACACCCCTGCTGCCTGTTGAAACAAGGGATTGTCACAGAATGATAAGTTATCTATAAACAATACATTTAGGGAAAGCTCTGAAATACAGCCACTTGAGAACGAACCATTGGTGAGCAATTAAAACAAGCAGCTCCTGCTTCTTCACTAGCCAGTGTGGTTTCTTTCTCTTCTTCCCGGAGAATGGTTTAGAGAACGATATCCTTCAGACGCTTCACACCAGGGGACTCTTTGTTGCGACCTTCCTTCAGAATGGGGTTGACCTCATGCATGACTTTCTCGCTGTCAGCTCCACGGGGCTCAGCTTCAGAGGGACGAGAAGGGCCATTGTTGACATTGTTGACATACTGCTCCAGATCACGGGCCGGAGGAGCCAGCGCAATGGTGTAAGACACGGAAGGCTTGGTGGGTAGAGGGCTCTTGAGGTGGAGCGGGGAGGTGACAGGGCTAATTGCCTCACAGCCATTGCCTGCCTCCCGGATAACGCTGTTGACCTTGGGGCTGCAGATGGTCACATCAACAGTCCTCTTGCCTTTCAGGGTGGGCCTCTCCTCAGCCGGGTGGTTGCTGACATCTTTCCCAAAGGTTGCAAAAGTCCGTTTGGTGGGGCCGCAGTCGTCATAAGGCTCTACATCAGCAGCAGCAGCTTCAATGGACAGCGCAATGATGTTCCTCACATGCTCCGGGGACTTGGAACGGATGGGCATGGGATTCCGGGGCATCCAGCACCTGTCAGAGTGGCCAAGAATCCGGCATTCTTCCCGGCAATGAAATCCCTCATTCTGATCTGTTTGAAAAAAGAAAATACCAATTTCATCAGCTTTTCCCAGGAATCACTGTTACTCCCCAGTGTTCTGGTTTCTTAGATATCCACAGGCCCCTCTGGGAAATGGCACTTTTAGATAGTCCTTTATTGCCTTTTGGGACAAGTATGAAGAACTAGATTATTAAAAGGCTGTAGAGCTTCCCCTATGTACATCCCTTTTAAGGTTCCCACTACTGACAAAACCAAAAAACTAAAGGGAAACACATTATGATGAAAATACATATATATTCTAAAGTTTATCCAGAGCATCAAGATACTGAGAGTCAATCATTTTCATCAACAACTCCTGCCAAAAATCACCTATGTTTGAAACTGGATTCAGGAGATGAGGGAGTGGAGGCACGGAAGGGAAAGCAACAGTCAGTATATTTAAGAAGCCTTGGCCATATTTTTGAACAACAGCACTGCCCAACACCCTTCCATCTTACCCATCACTGATACACAGTGCTTAATTTAAGTTTAGATTGATATCCTACTCTCTATGAAAACCCAATCACACCCCTTCCTTTTGACCACCAGTCCCACCAGCCAGTCTCCTCACTATGCCACTTCCATGACTTTATTTGCCATCAGAAGGAATATACTGAGATCCCGTCTTTCCAGCTGACTCATAAGCTTCAATTGGCCCTATGCAAACATCAGTCACATGTTCGGCATCGTTAATTAGACCCAACTAGCCATCCCTCCTTATCTTTCTTATCTGCAGTTTTGTTGGAGAAATACTTCTTAAAATAAAGAAATCATTCATGGATTATTTTAACTCTATCCTGGAAGATCTCAGCAGTTACAATTCACAATTTTGGGGACACACATTTCTCTTTCCAGGTCAGGTTCACTAAGGGTTAAAGCTTCAATTTGGCTCTCAGAGAGACTTACTACACAGGCTTTATCAAGCATGAACCCAGGGTTAACTTCTGCCTGTCACTGGAAAACTGTTAATCTCAATGTTTGTTTTATAGCCCTAGTTTTCCAGATCTATTTATATTTATGTTATATTCTTACAAGAGAACGACCTAGTGAAAATTTTCATCACACTGCACAATGCATCAAAATATGAGCAGTTTAACATTTACAGAAAATACATATATATACATATGTATGTAAAATATACATACATATACATATATGTGTGTGCATGTGTGTGTATATATATACTGTGACTGATTTTTTGGCAGGGGAAGATGTCTGCAATTCAGAGTCTTACCTGGCATCAATCTATATATAACACACCTTCCTTGTATACTTGTATTTCTATTTTGTTGGCATTTTTTGGTTGCTTCATTAAAGAGTAAATGGCATAGCAAAGCAAGGAACTGCTCTGCCTCATTCATCAAAAGTTCTTTGGCAAAGGGGAACAAGGGAGACGGCTCAAGGAATAACAGTTGAATTGGCTGTACACTTCATTGTTTGGAGGAAAGATATTAGAAGCCTGTTAAATATCAAGGATCTAATCTAAGCTAAATCCAAATTTCAACACAATTCTGGGCATGGTCCCTGACCTCACTTAAGCTACTTAAAAACAAACTAAAGACAAGACCTCTTCAGTGTACCTGGACATAATTTGCCAATTTATCTTTAAGATGGAACCTTTCAGCCCCCTTTCAGTGGGGAAATAAAACACTCAGAATTTTGCACAGTGGGAACCAAATAACAAGTGAACAACATCACCAACAGAGAAAGTGCCTTCCACATAGATAGGACGATGTTTCATGCAAATTCTGGCACAATTCCACATCAGGCTGCATGGCCACTTCTGCAAAAATCAAAGGTCTGTCAAAGCCCTTTCTCTGCCCCTTCCCTGCAAACTCTCTCAGTTGCCATCTGATGCCCTGTTATCATTCAACATACATATGTACCTGAGAGGCAGAAAATATGAAAGTAAGGGAAGTGTGTTGGGATGTACTTGAGAAGCACTTTGTGTAGACGAAACAGAATGATCCACTTTTAATCAGTTTCCTCCAAATATAGTGCTTTCCCCAGGAGGTCCCAAGATCCCTTTACTAGAACAGAAGTCACATCTTTAGGGTTTCCCAGTAAGCTGTTTTTGCCTCTTCATCTCTACTGAGGCCTATCTGGTAACTTTCCAAATAATACCTCTAAAAAATTAGTAAGAGTGTTTCAGGGTAAAGAGAGTAAGCAGGTGCAAGTTGGGGTAAAGTTCAATAAATTATTTCAATTTCTACAAATCAGAGTAAAATTCCCTGGAAGCCAGCAAAAAAGTGTTCAGAAAGCTGCAAGATCTCTGTCCTTTTTGTCCGTAACTGAAATACATAAAAGCATAAAGACCTAACCTTAGAGCCCCATGGACATGTGAGCAACTAGGAAACTCCCAGCCAGCCCTGAAACCATGAATATGTGAGCAACTATGAAAAGAAAATCCCAGCCAGATTAAAACTGATATTGCAGGCCACTTGCTCACACTTCTAAAGCAGAACAGTAGTGAAGTACAATTGAGTAGAATCTGCCCAATGTTGTTCTCAACATGAAGCTCTTATTTCTTTGAGAGTCGTTTTTTTTTTTTTTTTTTTTTTTTTTTTGAGATGAAGTCTTGCTCTGTTGTCACCCAGGCTGGATTGCAGTGGCAGGATCGCAGTTCACTGCAACCTCCACCTCCCAGGTTCAAGGGATTCTCCTGCCTCAGCCTCCCGAGTAGCTGGGACTACAGGTACGCGCCACCACGCCCGGCTAATTTTTGTATTTTTAATAGAGACGGGGTTTCACCATGTTGGCCAGGCTGGTCTCAAACTTCTGACCTCATGATCCACCTACCTCGGCCTCCCAAAGTGCTGGGATTACAGGTGTGACCCACCATGCCTGGCCTTCTTTCAGTTTTTAATATGAAGTGACTGTCCTCTGATTTTGAGATTCAGCTTTTTTCAACACCATTCAATAGGAGAATGCCACCCATGTGTCACCCTGAATCCAAGTACAGTGCCCCTTCCCTATACTAGGCTGCCTCAAATTAACTGCATGACGAGACTTGGAACCCCAGAATATAGGGAGGGAGAATAGAAAGCCCAGAGGCAGACATCTCCAAAAACTTATAAATATAAGAAGACAAGGGCAAGGAATTCAATCTTCTCTGAGACTTCTCTGCATAGATAGTACTTGCCTTCAGCTTGCCCATTGTCTAAATGAAACAATCACTGCCTGGGAAAAGGGAAAAGTAGACTAACTCAGGACATACCCAACAATGCAATCAGTCGAAGCCTCCCTACCAAGCTCACTGAGCCGACTCCAGCTCCATATGAGCTGGAATCATATGCAGTTTTCTCAGATTACTTATGTAAACTTATATGCACTGCCATTACCTCATGCAAGAGAAGATGTGAATCTAAGAGACTCTTTTAATCACAATGTCTCATCCTTGGCTTGGATCTGATAACCATATATTTTTAAGTCCTTACCAAGGGCACTGAGTTGCTGTTTCTTATTTTTGTGTTTCAGATATTTTGTGACATTTTTGTCTATACAATTACAATGAAATCTAATTTAGCTTAAAAATGTTCATAGGGCTGGGCGCAGTGGCTCAAGCCTGTAATCCCAGCACTTTGGGAGGCCGAGGCAGGTGGATCACAAGGTCAAGAGATCAAGACCATCCTGGTCAACATGGTGAAACCCTGTCTCTACTAAAAATACAAAAAATTAGCGGGGCATGGTGGCACCTGCCTGTAATCGCAGCTACTCGGGAGGCTGAGGCAGGAGAATTGCCTGAACCCAGGAGAATTGCCTGAACCCAGGAGGCGGAGGTTGCGGTAAGCTGAGATCGCGCCATTGCACTCCAGCCTGGGTAACAAGAGCGAAACTCCGTCTCAAAAAAAAAAAAAAAAAGTTCATAGCCACTTTATACATGAAATAAAAAATGGTTGATATAGACAGGCAGAAAGAGCATCTCTGCCCAGCACAGGGTAATTTACATTCATAAATATACTGCAGATGAATTACCTTTCAAAAATCAAAATTTCAGTTTAGTAAAGAAATTAAGTATTTAGTAAATATAAGAAAATCACAATACAAAGCCCCTTTAAAATAGCAATGAAGACAGACCAGATGTAAAAAATAAAAATAAAAAACACTAATTCTGTAATTGTATAGGACTTGTAAAGATTCTGTGCCACCTCTGATGTAGTATAGTGGCTGGGAATGGAGCCATGAGACTAGAGAAGAATCATTTTATATCATCATAAACTGTCAAGGTGCTGGATGCAGCTTATATAGCGAGGTAGACTAACAATTCACTAATTTCCTGCTAAGATTCTTCTTGTTAGCCTATTTGTGACTTGAGACCTTGCTACATTTTTATCTGAAAGTTCTGACCTGAACTGAAGCAAAGCAAAATGCAGCATTCTAAAATCCACACATAGTTGTGGAAATTCATGTATAGATGAATGAAGGCAGGTGTCTTTAATTTAAACATACTCATGATTAGGGTTGACTGATGAATTTGCAATTGTAAATTGGTTTTCCCTTCTTCTGAAGTTGTTCCTAGGATTTGCAATAACAAACAAGAAAAAGAGAGTTCATAAATTTGGAAGAGGAACACAAATCTTGAGACCAGATAACTCCTTAGTTCAAAATAAATCTGATTATTTTAGACCATAAAAAAGGAAATGTCTTCAATCTAGATAGCAATAAGTATTTGTGGGCTGCAATTTGTCATCAGGAAATTTGGTGAGAGAATTCCAAAACCCCTGGCCAAAAAACAACAACAAAAAAATCTTAAAAGCATCAGTCTTGTGAGGGTACAGGAGGCATAACAGGCAGTAATGACTAAGTCATGATGGATTAAGGAAGTAATTCAAATAGAAAAAGACCAGAATGTGTTACTTTGTGCAGATAATAGCAAAAGTTTATGCAGCAATTACTACTCTCCTCAGGACATGAAACTGCCATCTCCTCAGATGTGGGCAAACAATGTGATTCCACACTAGAAAGAGCCTACCCATGGTCCCCACCAAAGT